AGATTGCAAACCCTAAGTATTTTTACCATTGTAGTTATAGTCTCATTTACAACGTTAATGTACTAAACAGGGACTGCATAAAAATATTCAATTATTTTCAGACAGCTTATGTAACATTGCTGCTAATTCTAATGCCCAGCAAGCATAATCATTATAACCTCTGCTGTGATCCCAACAAGAATTTTCAAGCTCCTTATAAATGCATTAATCACCCCTATGAAAGTCACTGCTTGCTTTTAAGGAATGAAGATAATGTATGTTACCGGGATTCCACTGCATGTAGAATCATTAAAGAAAGATAGACCGGAATTTATGATTAAGCCTTTGGACAGCAGGGCACCATTTTAACCATAAAAATTACAATCTGCAAGGATAGTGGCTAAAGCAGAGGAACCATTAAATACTTATAATTAGCATCAATCAAGGTGACACTACTGTTGACAACTTTATTACTTTAAATACACTAATCAAATACTTCTGCATTGAGATGGAAAGATTGATAGACAGAAAGACATCCAGATGTAGCATAATTTAAAATGATCTTTTCAAAAGGTAACAAACAAAGCAAGTATTGGCATTAGTCAGATGGAATCCAAACACAGTTCTGAAATGGACAAACTTAAAATGGATCTACTGAGTTGGAAGGGTTCTCATATGGATGCTTTATCACCAAGTATTCCTCCAAACAAATCCATCTTTGTATGTCACTTCTGTGCAACCCACTGGACTTGCTGAAATTTGTATGGGACAAAAAATATAATAACTCTGGGTCATATAAGCTTCATGTAGCTCTGCCAGGTAAACAAACAGCCAAGCACTCAGCCCAGCATTACTCACTTTCCAGCCCTCTCCTTCGGTGTGCACATGGAAGTGAGAGATAAAGGGAGTGTTGAACTTGGTGTTATTTACGTAATTACAATAGGGGTTGTCAGTATTTCCTAATTGCATTAGTGCTCAATTGCATAGCACACAGACTCTAAAATACGCTGTTTTACTATTACTGCGCATATAAATATTTCAGTCTTAATGAACAAGAGGCTGCTCAGCATCTTTGCCACCCCTTGAGCCCATATGGCATTGCACCATAATGACTGTAATTTTTTAAAAGGTGCTCTTCTCCGAACAGTTTCTGGCTGTTCAATGTTCACAAACCGAATCCTTGAGGTTAAGAGCATAGACCACAAAGAAAGGATGTGAAGTAGTTTGCAGATAACAGTCTGGCTTGGTATCAATTCAGAATTATGGATGAAGATTTGGCAAGGCATCTCCCAAGGGGACAACTTCATCTCTGCCAAATGAGATTATAATGGCAAAGACTTTCATTATGAAGATGACAAGCCCCAACAATCATTTGGCTCCAAAGTTCAACTTTATTTATAGGTTCCTTAATTGGTGCATCTACCACTAGGTTTAAAATCCATTTTAATTCTCTCTGAATTAGACACTTGCTTCTTTAAAAAAAAATTGTGTATGTTCATCAAAAACTGGACAGAGATGAGTCAATGAAAATTCCCCATTGTTTCTTTCCAAGCAATGAAAAGAGCACTGAGGAAAGAGGATGGGAGTCAGAGCTGAAACAATTGGAAAGAGCCAATTACACAAAATACATTACCCACAAGTCACTGAAAGAGTATCAGCTAACTCAAACCCAGTTCCTTTTTTAATTTCATGGTTAAGGGAAGAAGATTTTTCCAATATAGCATGATAGCCGTACAGAGGCAAAGTAATGAGAAAAATACTGCAATTGGGCTATTGAAAATCCCACTAGTTTAAGCCAATATCTATCAAATCACTTTCTCAAACATTATGCTGCAATTTCCAAAAGGTTCCATACTCTGACCTTTTCTCAAATGATCACAGCAAACTCTTCTGGCTCTTAAAAGCATAGTAGCTTATTTCATTTGAATAGGTTTTTACAGTTTACCGAGTTATTTTACACATATTACCTCTGTGAGGTAGATACGATTATTTCCACTGTACAGATGAAGAGACAGACTAGGAGAACTTCAGGGTCTTCCAATGGACCCCTGGATGTTAGGTCTGCTGACTCAAAACCCTCTTCACTATACTGTACTGACCCTGAGTTGTCTTCCAATGTTCCAGAACTTTATTAATTAAGGAGAGAAATCAAAAATTATAGATGATGATTACCTATAGTAAAACACATTTTACAGAGTACTTTTAGCAAGAAAGAGCTGCTGATGGAGAATCAACAAAATGTATAATGAACACGAGAGAATCCTTCTAGTCCGAACACGGGTTTGCTTTGTTTGGTGATTGGTCATCTTTCTTCCCTACTCCAAGATTTTGTTTTTCACTATTAAGAGTCATTTGATTCTCACTGACGCACAAGGAGTTGGGAGGGTTGTGTAATATTGCATGAGGCTGACCTTACCACTGGTGGAAAAATTGCCAGCCAGACACAACGTGTCAGCTCAGAATGACTCAGGGATAGGCTCAACAGTATCAAAGACCTTTATATCAAATCCTTAACAAAGGAGCTTAGTGTAAACAGGACTTCAGGGCTGGGAAATGACACAAGAAGAGGACAGTCACTTCCTCATCAGAGGACATGGCTTTTGCCAAAATTTGCTGAAATGTGTCCACATTAGTTCCAAATAGACATGAATTAGAGGACTCATATCAATATATGCTATGTTCTACCAGGGACACAGAGAATAGTGTAGTGAAGGGTTGGGTTGGGGTGGGAACTGGGTGGAGGAGGGAAATGGAGAAAATGGGGGGACATCTGTAATATTCTCAACAATAAAGATTTTTTTTTTAATATTTAAAAATGTGTGCTATGTTTCAGATCCAGATGAGGAAATATTCGAGGCCTGGCAAACTCTCTTTCCTACCCTCCATAAATAGTTCAATGTTATTTACACTTTTCAGTTAATATCACTTTTATATCAAAAAGAAGAAAATAAAAAGATGATAACATTGGAAGAGTTAAGTGGAAATAGGAGAACTAAAAAGAAAAAATATCTGCATGTAAAACTACATAATTGATACAAAGGAAAAAACCTCTCATTGAATAATAATGGCAAGAGTAGGCTCATTGTAAGCACATCCTCACTACCTTCTCTTTTACAATAACTACTTCAACACCTCTTTCATTGTTGCCCCAGCTGTAACTCAAGTATATAACTTCAGCCCTCGGTTGACTATATAAATACAACCCATATGAATTAATTTAAATTTTTTTCAATTTTTTTAATATAGGTAGAGACATTTTCAATTACATTCATATGTTGCAGAATGGAGCCATTACTATTAGAAAATTGAACTATGGATAGTAAGGACATTGAGTTAATAAATAATATGGAAAACTTTGGTAAATCAAATAGGCTTATCAGTATAAATGTTCTCCCAATCTATCCAAAAATAATCCAACAAGTCATTTTAAACTGTATACATGCTGTGTTGTCATTTCTTTACAGTGATGGATGAGAAGATTTAATTTGTTTAACCTAAGCAACCTCTGTATCAGGCAATGAATGATATAAAGTGTGTAGTAAAGAGGCTTTCCACTGTGGCACACAAAAAGATGGGTTTACTCATCAGTGGTGGTCAGTAAAGATGCACAGGAAAAATTGTGCTTGGCAGGAAAACTACAAATCCTATATAATAAAAGAGGAATATGCTAATTATCTGTTAACGCTGTAATGTCATGACCAATCTACAAGTGGTGAAGAGCTACTGGAGGGCGGGGCAGCGAGCTAGGAGTGGGGAGAGCTACAGGAGGGCAGGACAGTGAGCTAGGAACGGCAGGAGAGCTGCAGGGCAGGGCAGTGGGCAGAGAGCTACAGGAGGGCGTGGCAGTGAGCTACAAGCAGCCCAGAGCTACCAGCAGCGGTGGGTGGGTGGCCAGCTGAGGCAAGCAGCAGAGAGTTATTCGCGCATGGATTCGTGAGCAGGGCTACTAGTGTGAATATAAAAAGAATGCCGAAGAAATTTAAGACATTAATTTATAACCCTCTAATGGCTAATTTGGTCCGACTTTGAAAGTAAACATTACATAAAAGGAACAACATGCTCTCTTAACATCCTAGAAGAAATTATTTCAACAGTAAGCTGTATGACTTGTGGTGGTACTGCATGGTCCAATGAACTTTGATGGAAAATAGAAAAAAAATTCCTACGCAAGAAGGAGAATCCTGCTTTGATGTGTACCTCTCAAAGAAACACTCAAATTGGGTTATCCATACGCCTGACTAGTTACAAAATATATTACCAATGAAATACCTATATATTGATTTCTATAATCATGACCAATAGCTCAGCAAACTAAATAGAATATTGAGAATCAAAAGCTAACAATGAACTGTGACATACAATACACAAACATACTCAAAAGGAGGATATTCTTGAACATCAAATTATAATTTCTCTTTCAATTCTAATAGCACTCATCTATCTAAATCTGGGTTATAGATATGTAACATATAACATACAGTCACTCTCCTGAAACGTGCCTGCTGAAACAGGGCAAAGACATGCAGCACTTCAGGGATCTAGGTCAGAGTTAAAAATACAAGCCATAAATTCACTAATGCTAGAGGTGAATGAATAGCAAAGAAGATGAGATAGTCTCTATTACTTTGTATTGAAGCTCATAAAAGGTTTGCAATTATCTTACATAATATGTCTGCTTTCTATCTTTTGTATTCTCTTTATTTCTGTCCAGTATATGGCTAAATCCACTATACATCAAATAAGAGTGAATCATTTCTAATTTAATAGTGACACAAATCCTTTGGAACTCATACATTATTGACAATGACATAGAATATTGACCTTGAGTGTATAAAATATTGACTCGCTTTTCTTCTTTTTTTTTTTTTTACATTTTTCCTAGATATGACATGATTAGAATGCATTTTCCATAGGTCATTTTGTTTTGCCCAGATGTACTCATAAACTATTACCTACACAGGCTGTTCTGCTGAGATTTTGTCTAAAACAACAAAATTGAAAGAATCAGTAGCATGCTAGATAACAAAAGATTATTTTATTTAAATACATCACGACAACGCTTCCTGGCAACATGGCCTTAAATTAAAAAGAAAATTGTGTAAGAGGTCCTAACAAATAATCTGCAAAGAGAGTAGAGAGTTCCAGAGAGAAACAAAGTGAGATCCCATAGAATTGCATGTGTGGTGGCTCTTGAGCAAGGAGGAGGAGGACCTGGGCTGACAGTGGGCTCTTTCTTCTCTCTCTCTCTCTCATCAGCTACCTGGTCCTGAACAAATCTTCGATGTCCTCACCTGAAACATAATAATATTGACATTACCTTACAATGTTATGGGAAGAAACAGAGAGGGTATATGTAAAAGCATTCTGTACCCAACAAAATATTACAAACTGATAAACTATAAATGAGAACATTATAAATATATAAGTTATAAACAAAGATACAGACAAACTAGGGGGGCTGATTTGAAATGTACTCATTATAACACAGATATGCAAAATGTAATTTAAAAAAAAAACACCCTGTGTTTCCAGCCCTGGCCAGATTAAATTCAGTGATTAGAGTATTAGCCCAGGGACCAAAGAATCATGGGTTTGATTCCTGGTCAATGGCACGTACCTCGGTTGCAGGTTCGGTCCCCGACCTCAGTCGGGATAAGTGCCAGAGGCAACCAGTCAACTGTCTCTCTCACATCCATATTTCTCTCTTTCTCTCTCCTTCCTCCCTCCCCTCCACTCAAAAAAAAAAAAATCAATTGAAAAAATATCCTCAGGTGAGGATAAAAAAAAAAAATTGTGTTTCCCATCACATAACTGACCTCATCTTGCTCAAAAGTCTTCATTCTCACTTGGTATAAAAAGCAAAACAAAACAAAAAATGTAAAGCTTGTTCATTTGTTATGAGTCAGGTTCTTCATTAAATAGTCAGTTTGGGGTACATGTTTACTCTTCCTGGGTTTTCTCTCCCTTCTTCCTTCTCCTAACAGAACGGCGACATCTCCTCAAGAAGCTTGTGCAATATTGTAGTGGTGGGAGCAGAGCATCTGCTCCCATTAGTGCCCTTCCTGGGTGGGCTGCTACATCCTGAGTAAGACAAACCGAATCCATCCTTCTCCTTGGGTTTCGGTCTCTACCTTCACTATACCTGTTCTGAAGAGTTTGGGATGGTCCTTTCAGTATAGGCATGGGGCAATGCTTGCTTCTGTCTGTCTTCCCTGATTGACCAGACTCTTCATCTCAGCGCTCACTCCTCAATCTTCATCTCAGAGGCCTGTCTGTGTGCAGCTGGGACCCCAGGTGGAGAGGCGCAGTCTCTGCCAGATTTCCCTTCTCTGCGACACTGGGACCTCTAGAAGGTGTGCTGACTCTTACTGAAAGCTCAGTTCAGTATCTCTGCCCCACCAGAACCAATTCTAAGACGTGAGGTACCTGAAGGAGAGGTGAGTAGAATGGCCATTTCTCAACAGGCCCTTTCAACTCTACTGCCCACACCAAGGTGGTTTAGAGACTCCCAGGAGCATTTCCTCTGAGCTGGGGGGAGGGACGTTGACAAGGCCTCTTTAGCTCTCATCTCCTTCCTTAACCTTCTTGTTTTCTTTTTATATTAACGTCCTTTTTGTTCCTATTCCCAATCTCTCATCAAGCATTATTTGCACCACTGAAGGGGGGAGGCGTGGGGGAATGGATGTGGTTAGGTCCCACTTTTATAAGCTTTAGTCTTATATCCTCAGGCTTTCTTCTCAATATATAAATGGCAGCTGTAGCATTTTCAACAAATCATAGCTTGTGTAAAAAATTTGGTAACAAATGCACAATGACACATTTGTTCTAGAATAGACTGTATCCACCCCACACCTAAAGCAATAAAGGCCACTGATTTTATGACTGTGGCAGCTGCAGGGTAACAAGGTTTACAGGGAATTTTTTTTAAAGCATCACGACATACTTCAAGCTTTTTTTTTTTTTCCTTACTATATAAACTAGGCAGTTTAAGATTATGGGAGATTTCAAGAGTTTCTGAATAAAGGGAGAAAAATGACTTTGTGAAATAGCAATTATGGAAATGTTACTAACCTGATTTAGAGATGACTAAATGAAGGCTCAGGGAAGATAGATAATTTTCACAGCATGTGAGCAGTGAAGCAAAATTTAAATGCAAGTATTTGTATGATAACTCCAGTGTTCTTTTTACTATCCTATATAATAAAACCCTAATATGTAAATTCACCAAACAGTGGAACAACCAGTTGCTATGACGTGCACTGATCATCAGGGGGCAGACGCTCAAGGCGGGAGCTGCCCCCTGGTGGTCAGTGCGCTCCCACAGGAAGTGCCGATAGCCAGAGCTAGGTTCATGGCTGGCAAATGGCTGGCTAGCACAGTGGTGGTGGTGGAAGCCTCTCCTACCTCCACGGCAGTGCTAAGGACCCCTCGGGGGATGTCTGCCTCCCAGCTTAGGCCAGCTCCCCATGGGGAATGGGCCTAAGCCGGCAGGCAAACATCCCCTAAGGCAGCAGTTCTCAACCTGTGGGTTGCAACTCCTTTGGGGGTTGAACGACCCTTTCACAGGGTCACATAAGACCATCAGAAAACACATATATAATTACATATTGTTTTTGTGATTAATCACTATGCTTTAATTATGTTCAATTTGTAACAATGAAAATACATCCTGCATATCAGATGTTTACATTACGATTCATAACAGTAGCAAAATTACAGTTATGAAGTAGCAATGAAAATAATTTTATGGTTGCCGGTCACCACAACATGAGGAACTGTATTAAAGGGTTGCGACATTAGGAAGGTTGAGAACCACTGCCCTAAGGAGTCCTGGACTGCAAGAGGGTGCAGGCTTGGCTGAGGGACCACCACCCCGCCCCCCCCCCCAGTGCACAAATGTCATGCACCGGGCCTCCAGTAAATATAGAAGTCCTTGACAATGTCAGTCAACGCAAAAGGGAAACTATGCATATGAATTCCTGACACTTCCTATACAAACAATAAAACTTACATGACCTCAAAGAAGATTAAAAAATGGAGAAATCCTGATGAGTCATTAAACTTATTCATTCATTATTTTCTTGATTCAACTACCATTTAGTGCAGCCGTGGGCAAACTACGGCCTGCGGGCCAGATCCGCCCATTTGAAATGAATAAAACTAAAAAAAAAAAAGGACCGTACCCTTTTATGTAATGATGTTTACTTTGAATTTATATTAGTTCACACAAACACTCCATCCATGCTTTTGTTCCGGCCCTCCGGTCCAGTTTAAGAACCCATTGTGGCCCTCAAGTCAAAAAGTTTGCCCACCCCTGATTTAGTGAATACTCCTGAAATAATAAATATTGTACCATGTATTGGAAATCTTATAAAGGTAATTCTCCCTACTCTGAATTAAATTCCAATATAGTGGAGAAGACAGGCAGATGTAATTATAACACACCTAAGCAAATTCAGTGCTATATGATTTTTTAGAAATCCTATATAATAAAAGCCCAGCAACCATAATAGCAGAACAACCAGAGAGATTGCTCAACCAGTCACTATGCACTGACCAACTCTCGGTCCTTTTTCCTGGCCAGCAGGCTCCCATCACCCGATGGCGAACAGGGACCCGGGGGCGGGATGGCAGGGGATGTGGGTGGCACCAGACCAAGGCCCCCACCTCATCAGTCACCCCACAGACAGAGGGCAACCTGCGGTGGGCGTGGGGCTGGTGAGTATGTGGGAACTGCTGACCTCAGAGTCCTTCCCCCTGCCCACAGGCTCTGATCGCCCAATGGCAAACGGGGACCTAGGGTGGGTGGAGGGGAATGCGGGCAGCACTAGGCCGAGGCCCCACACACAGAGGGCGACCTGCACCGGGGGTGGGGCCAGTGAGAAGGCAGGAACGGCCAACCTCTCAGTTCCTCCCCCGCCCAGCCATCAGAGAGAGAGACAAGGGGGGGGGGGGGGGGGGGGGGGGGGGGGAGAGAGAGAGAGAGAGAGAGAGATCATTGTTTCAATACAAGTCCAGACTGGGGATTGAACCGCAACCTAGGTATGTGCCCTGACTGGGAATGAAACTCACAACAATTTGATGCACAGAATGACGTTCCAACCAACTGGGCCACCTGGCCAGGGCAGTGCTATATGATTTTAAGTATCATGAGGCTCTCAGTGTTCACAAATAAATTTTTTCATGCCTCGAATGTTTACTAGAATTCATAGTAATTCTACAGTGGATGTTCCATTATGTCCCAACACATGTTGAGATGTAAGGGATTACTTAGTTGAAAATGCTGCTCTCAATAAATCTGCAAATCCCAAGGGAGACAGAAATGTAGAGTGCACAGCAGCTTGGAAGTCATGAGAGCCACCCATCTCCACTTGCCTATTTCTCACTGGCCAATTTACTTTTCAACAATCTAAAGCACTACAAACAGTCCCTCTCTAGGGCACCTGCAGTTGCCTATACACACACACACACTGCATTAAAAAAAATTGGTAAACTTCATTAAAACATCTTCCTCAAATATGACCTTTTCCAGTGATCTGAGAAGAGTGACAGGAAGAATCCCCCCAGAGGAATGTCGTGACTTTGAGTCAGCGTTTCGGTGTCTGGTTCTGTGAAGGTTTTATGAGAATAGTTCAAGATTTCCTTTGATAGCTAAGAGTGACAACACTATTCAAATGCCAAATGTGGTGAAAGTAAAAAGTAAAAAATGTGTCAGAATTCTGTTCTTCCAAATCCTGAAACTCAAACACCTGCCCTGATAGATTAAAATCCTTTACTTAAAAATGGAACTTGCCCTAGCTGGTTTGTCTCAGTGGCTAGAGTGTCGCCCTGGGTTCGATTCTGGTCAAGGGCACATGCATGGGTTGCAGGCTCAATCCCCTGTAAGGGGTGTGCAGGAGGCAGCCAATCAATGATTCTCTCTCACCATTGATATTTCTATCTCTCTCTACCTCTCCCCTCATCTCTGAAATCAATAATATATATATTTTAAAAATGGAACTTATCAGGCAGCTGCATCACTTAAAATTATTAACTTCATTTAAAAAGAAAAAGTGAAAATTATCCCCTAAATAGTCTAGAGACATTTAGTAAGGAAAACAAAAACCCATACCCATTTTTTCCTCTCTTATAAAAGGGGATCATTTACATAGCCCACCATATATATATATATATATATATATATATATATATATATATATATTAATTACATGCTAACATAAATATTTTAAAAATAATCCATAAAAACAGCCAGTCAAAGAACTACCAAAAATGCACAAAGGCAAAAAAATAG